AGAAAGAAAGATATGTTTAGTGGAATGAATTTCTGTAAATTTCACAAAGAACGACCCAGATATTAGTAAATGTAAATACCTATTTTCAATCGGCCCACCATCTTCACGAAAGGTTGGTTTTCCGTCTTATATAGAAATTGTGTGTATATTAATACAAGTCATATCACTGATCTGATGTGGCATATTGATCTTGGGGTATGGCTTACATTAATTGTAAACAGATAGAGGGTGGTAACGTATGTACTTTGACTAAAATCCATGTAAGCATGTAATGTAATGGATTTATTTCAATGGACAATGCAAGAGAGGGCCAGAGTGCGGCTAAAGTCAACTAAACCAGGTTATTTCGAGAATGAAATATGAAACATCGTACACCCGCCCCCACCTCCACATTGTCACAAGGCTGATCTGTGTGAGACAAGTCATACAGCAGGCCCACGTAGATGATATTTCTGATATTTCTATATTCAATAGGCTTTGTTTCTGCCATTGTAAAATCTTATTTTAATAAAACCACCAGAGGTGTGACTTTAGAGGTCTTAACAAGTTTAAAGGAGCTAAACCGCCAACTCAATATTATTCATAATATTCGAAATTAAAAACACGAATTAGTATTCAGTATTGGTCCATTTCAATCAATATTGATGTTATACCCTGAAATTTTACGGTTTCAAGCGTCATGCGTAATGAACAAAGAAAAACATATCCCCAAAAGACAATGCGGAAGTAATTAAAAATGGCTGATTAACACAATAATAAGAATTAAAAAACCCGTATAGAATGCATAAGCAGGTACAAACGCGAATTGTTCGTAGAATCAGGGGCCATAATCCAGCGAGATATAATCCGATACGCGCTAAAATCGAAAGGAACAGGGATCTTTGGGATATAAACATATACATGTATTTTAAGTTTCATCATAATCGGATAAAAATTGTTACCTCTATAGAGGGTCCACAACCATGGTATTACATACTTTTACACCATTTACGTACAGCGGAGCGGTGATTTTGTCGGACAGTTTCTGTCCTATTTTCACGGAATTCGAACTCGTGACCTCTAGAGGGTCCACAAGCTAAAAACGTGATTTTTCTTACAATCAACGGTCATAATCCAGGAAGTTGCTGTCCGATATATGCGCTAATATCGAAAGGAACCGGGATCTTTGCCACATAAACCTACATTTGAAGTTCCATTAAAATCGGATACAAATTGTGACCTCTACAAGCTAGAAACGTAATTACGAAGTTACGGTCCGATACATGCCAATATAGACAGAAACCGAGATCTTTGGGGGTATAAACCTATATTTCAAGCTTCGTCAAAATCGGATAAAATCGTGACCTGTAGAGTGTCCACAAACAAAATGGGACGTACAGGGGCGACGATATAATAAGTCCACATGAAAATGCGGGGCGTATTAAATTTGAATGTAATCAGTATGTATTAAGGCCCATTTTCGTATATTTTACAGTTCCAAAGAATATAGCTATAGGCACTTTAACCTGAATAAACATTAGATGCAAGTTCAATTAAATATAGATAAGAGTCACGTACAACATGTGGTAGTATCAGAAATCGATATAAAGTTTATATGACGACGTTATTGATAACCACGGTGTTTACGAATAAAGATTGCCTCGTAACTACTATATTTATAAATTACGATAACCCGTCAATACTTTTGAACAACTGATGAGCCAATCCTAATCCTAGTTCATCGAAGCTACCGAGCACTCCTTGCTATTGTTTATTATACAGTGTGACCCAATATAAAGTTGCCCTAACCTTAAATGGTTAAGTATAACTTCTTCCTAAAGTTTTGTTATGCTCATAAGACCTACATATTTGCTATGGTATAAAAATGTCCGCTTAAGACAGAAGAAATGCATTTATCATAGAAAATTACACTTTAAATTACACCAAAATGGTCATTGTGTTCAAAGAATAAAAAAGACAATACAGATAACATTAGCAGAGGAGAAAATAAATAAATTCATATGATACAGCATTAAGTTGTTACATTTCAGAGAAAAAAAACCCAGACCTACAGTCAAAATTTCTAGCGTGCTTAGAAACACAATTCCGCTACAGGGTCCTCGAAGCTAAACAAACTATGCATTTTTGGAAAGTTTAACACCAGGAACGCAAATCCGAGAGTTCCAAGAAAAATAAGGGAGTGGCAATTGTAATGAAGAGAAAAAAGATCAGATAGAGTTTAATTAATGTCTGACTGTTCAGTATCAACCAGGATAATGAAGATATACATACGCCATGCACTTTGCTAGGGGGAAATGAAATGAAATGAAATGGGATTTAACGTCCTACTGTTCTGCTCCTAACCTGGGCTAATGAAGACGGGCATACGCCATACAGTGTGCTATGAGGGAAATTTTGCCCGGGGAGCGGCACTATCGCCTACTCTTATATCGAATTCCAACTGCCAGGGGATCTTTTACGTGCATTCCAATATATACACGGGACCTCGTCTCATCCGAAGGACTAGACAGCTGTCCTTGTCAGGCCCTCCGTCCTGCATCACTGACAAGGGGGAACCACGCCGGAAAATCTGGATGAACTTTCTCGGCCAATACAGGGATCGAACACCCGACCTCCAGGCTAGCGAGCCAGCGCCTTACCCACTTAGCCACGTGGTCCCCTTGCTAGGCGGAATTTAGCCCAAAGAGCTACGTTACGGTCTACTCTTTATTTCGAATTCAAACTGTCAAGAGCCCCTTTACGTGCACGCCAAGGTGTACACTGGACCTCAGTTTTATATCCCATCCGAATAACTAGACGCTGTGCACTGATGACACTTGCATGGAAAGCAGGAATACTAACTGTACATGTACATTGCAACCTCCCTACCCCACGCGCCCTCATTATAATGCATGGCGTATGCTCACCTTCATTATACGGGTTGGTGCAGAACAGAAAGACATTAAACTCCATTTGATTTCATTTCTCACCATTACAATATTGTTACTCACATTACAATATTATTTAGTTTTAGCCATATCTATTTTATTGGGGAAACTAAATATTTATTGATATTTTCCATAAAGGGAGATAACCGTTAATGGATTTCCAAAATTCCGTATGTTTCCTTGTCCATTATGTTTTCTGCATTTTTGTTTAAATCAAAATTTAACCAATACCCTATTCTTCGCCGAGGATGAAGGCATCAACTTCACAATTGTTAGTAGAAATATAGCATTTACTTGACAATTTTTACGATTTTCATCAGGCCTAAATCGAGTTAGTGCAAACATTTTTCTCGGATTTGTGTTCCTGGTGTCATAAGCTTTCCAAAAATGTACAGTTTGTTTAGCTTCGAAGACCATGTAGCAGGACTTAACACTAAAAATTCTGGCTGCAGGCCTATTACACTAATAACTAATCTGAGAAAGCTGCTAAACTAGAGGACACCCATTAGCATTATTATCATCGGTTCAACAGATCTTACCCCACTTTCCGTATAGGGCCTACAGTAAAATACCGGCAATCTGGACCCTAAAGAATGGAATGTTTCGGAAATACTAGTACTCCCATTCTGTGTTTTGAGTGCCTATCTTCGGAGTTTTTTCTACATTTTTCTGAGTACTCTTATTATTTAACACTTCCCTGTGTGTGGAGTGTCTTGTCGAAATAAGTGTTCGGCACGAATATTCGAATATTTGCTCGTCGAATATAATATTCGAATAGCAATCACCATATTCGAATATTTTCGAATATCTACATTATTTATTCTATTTGCTCTCAAATATTATTAAAGGCGACTTCCCTTGCCACATTTACATTCAAAGCTTACTTAGATTACCTAACTGCAGCTTGTAAGGGTGCTACCCCTACATAGATCTACCTTTTTCAAAGACAGTTATTCGGTAAGTAGCTTGTTCCCTACTTTGGGTAGCCATTTAGTGCCGCGATGGAGTTGGCTGTCTTGACTAATATCAAATCAAGGCTAATCTTTGGAACCACATGAAGCTGAAATATGGCTGCGTAGCTCCAGATACTCCCTCAGCCAATTACAAAGTTCTACACAAAGTAAGATCTTCAGGCAACAGAAAGAAGTATGACAGAGATTCGGCACAGCAAAATACATCACTTAAAAATCGATCAAGTTTGTAGCCAAGTATTATGAGCCCCTTTCTCTTATTGACAATGACCATTTCGGGAATTGGTAGAAGCTCTAAATCCATCTCACAATTTACCGTCAAGTAAAACACTCAAAAAAAGAATGGAAGAAATCTATGATGCCGTGCGTTCCGACTAACATCAAATCAGGAATCACCCAAGTCAGAAGTTAGCCGCTGTGGCCACAGATGGACATCAGATGAACAAAATGAGTCTTGCATTAGTTCAACGCTCATTTTGTATCACCAGATTGGGAGATGATGGCTAAGACTCTGGGAGTGAAATCATGTCCAGGTTCACATACCTCGGATAAACTAAAAGAGCATCTCACGGAGATGGCAGATGACTGGAGTATGGTTGAGGTCCGCGTCTACTTGTTGCGATGTCATGGAAGGCCGAGGTCTTTTGTACAAATTGGCAGTTTACGTAAAAGATCCACTGGCAATTGCTAAAATATAATCTTGTGCATTGTTCACATGTCAACAGAAATTTCACGTATTTCATAATTAATTAGAAATTATAATAAATTGAATATAAGCCACGTTAAAGTATTCGAATACTATTCGAATACAAATTTCAAGACCCGTCGAATATTCGAATAGTATTCTTGTTCGAATATCCGAACACTAGTCGAAATGTTAATGACCATGCACAGTACAAAAGTGTGATCAAAATAAAGTCATGTAATCCGAACAGTAGTTTCGGAAGAAAAAAAATGGAAATATGCTTTATAAGAAATATGGGGTCTATTATTAGTCAAACATGGGGAATTTAACATTATTGAACTTGATGGAAACATTGTGGTCCGAAACCCTATTTTATTTTCTGTTGACAAGGGAGACAACTCCAATTAATAGTCACATGACCTAAAAATGGCGATTTTTTTGTAAACATAAAAATTCTAGTATGGCAAATCGCGAATATTGTATAATCTCAGATTTTAGAGCTGACATAGAGAGTGCTACCGATTTCTTGATTTCTAAACAGTTCTTAAGATGTATTGAATTGTGTAACACTATAATTTATCGTGGAAAAGAGACTGGTTTAATTCTTTCAGATGTGCAAAATTCGTCCTTACGTTCGTCGGTAGAGTTGGAGCAAATTAGGGACAGCGATATTGGTGCACCAGTAAGAGGAAGCTCTCTACTTTTGAAAGATTCAGAACAGTTAGTAGATCATGTGGAGGAATTTTCGACGCCAAAATGCCCTGATGGTACCGACGCAGTGGTTGAAAACAGGGACTGGGAATCGAAATTGTATGTAATTTTTAAAAACTTATTTGTGAATCATTTAATTGGTACGGTAATAAAAATAAAGTAAAGTTCTATCTGATTTTTTTTATATGCCAACATTAATTATAAGCCCCATGATATAATAAAAATTTAGAAATTGAAGTTGTCAGTCGCGAGTTATCACCCTGTTCATATCAATCAAATCAAATTCATATTTTTTCTTTAAACTTTGTGACAGTGTTCATATTTGAATTCCAAAAATGTTAGTTGGATTTTGAAAACTATAACATGGAATTGTTGACAGTTGTTTTAGACGGGAATTTAAAGGTCAGTTGCTCACATTGAAGTGCTGTATTCCATCAATTGTTATTTTTCCATCTCTTTTTGGAGGTATATATAGTTAATTCTTATTTGAATGTCTGCCATGTCCATGGCCTCCCACTCCTTTAATACAATTTTTGATTTACTCGCATATTTTTCATTTTTCCAGATGTGGTCTTGTTAATTCTGCTGTGGTTTTGTCAATTCAAGCTTATGCTGAATTGAACCAGTGGAATGATGTCATCCCATTTATTCGTAGAGTTTATGATGATGTTGAAAATTGTCCTCCCAAAGTAATACATATGTGGTGAGTAGCCATTTAGATTTTTCCATAGATTTTTAATTTATGACTTCGAGCAAAATGTAGAGATTTAAAGCATAGACCTTTTTAGAATTTGTTGGCTAAAGATTCAGATTGGATGAAAAAATTGAGATTTTTTCCTTCAATCCTTTTTGCAATACAGATTGTGGTTTGAGTTAAGAAAACAATAGCCACTCATATGTTTGAATAAGCTTTTAGAAAAAATAAAAGGATATATTGTTTTTGATATGCCTACGACTCGGAAGCTTTTGCAACACGAAAGCAAAGATATGTAATAAGGGGTGAATCCCGGAGCCAGTCTGTTGGGCATAAAGGATGGTGAGTCATAGTATTCTTCCAAATCCTCATCACCACGGTTAATTTATGAAAAAATTATGCCTTTAAAGGAGCTATCTGCTAAGTCTTTAACTCGATATTCTCCATAATATTTGAAATTAAAGACACGAATTAGAATTCAGTATTTATCAATTTCAATCAATATTGATGTTGTTATCTTGCCGTCAAACTATAGGATACTAATATCCATTATTTAAGACATAATTAACATTTTATAATCAGTACACAAGTCGTGTACCCTATGATTTCGGGTGTCATTTTGTAATCAGCAAATAAAAAAATATCCTACAACACGAGGTGTAAATGACTGCCGTTCAATTTGAACTGTTTACATATTTCACCAAACATAATTGATTAGAAATTACAATATGTTTTTCAAAATATTGAATATGAATCACTTTACATACATTCATATTACATTAATATGTGCTTTTAGAACCACTTTTGTCCATTTCAAGGTAATATTTATGATAGCTCTCAGCATCTTCTCATAATGTTTATGTGTATTTTCCAGTCTCCTTCTATATGCCAAAGTTAAAGAATACATCCAATGTCATGCATTAGCTAAAATATGGCTTCAGTGTCCCAAAAACTATAAACTATCTGAGTATAAGGATGTAGCAGAAGTCTATGTTACAAAAATACTCATGTCAACTCACAGATTTGACATGATTCCAAAAGTTATAAACAATTGTGGTGGGTTAACTTCTCGGGAAAAGGAAGAAATGTTGGATAATTTTAAGAAATCTGAAAAAATAGAAACAAGTGCACAAACCCAATTAGTGTCAACGGATCATTCAGAATCCCATCTACCAAATGAAGAGAATAGTGGCATTGTAAACAGTACAGGACTCACAGGAGGTATTTTAGTAATTTATTTTTTTAAAAAGCTTTCCTCTATAGTTAAACAATTCCAATTGATGTATACCAATACAGATGATACAAATTCTGGAGTTTTTATGAGTTAATATCCTGCAGTGCTAGAACATTTTGTACATTACTGATCCTGAGGCTTTCCGAATTTGCAAGCATTCTATTGTTAGGGGCCCTATTCACAAATACTTAGATTAAGATATTTTAAGAATACAGCTGTATCCTAAAAACGATTGTCTTAATCACGTTTAGTCACTACCCAGGTAGCAGTGACTGCCAAGGTGAAGTACGTCTTAAAAGCCTACGTCAATGTATGTTTTTCAGTGAGATGTCAGTTTATATTTATAGATAAGATACAATGCCTTTTTAAATGAATGTTCACAGACTTCATGTTGCATAACTTGCATAAATTTACAAAATATCAGCATTTCCTGTCATTACTAATATGAATTCTGAACAAAATCTAATCAAGTAAAACACACTTTTAGTTTCAGATGATTTGATAAGTTATGGATCAACATTATTGAAAAAATTGTTTCGAACACTGTCCAGAGAGAGAATAAAAAAGATATGGAAGGTGATTTTAATGACGGCTGTGGCAATATTTGCTTTTCTTCACACTCAATATGGTATGTTTCTTAAAGCGGAAATTGCAAATTTTCGAAGAAAGTCAAAACGTAATTATTTCTATGTCTTTTGCTCAATAGGTTGTCAACTCACAATTATACGATCATAGGTGTCATTCTCACACTTAAAACTCATTTACACAGGAAATAATAACACAATTACCTCCCAATTAGCTCCCTTGTTTTCTATTCTCCACCATGGAGAAGCTTTTTTCAAGCGTTTGAAAATGAAGAGGAAAATGATATTTTTGCCAATTTCTCAGCTGGCAATAATGAATTATGGATTAATAGGATTATTCTTTAACAAGGTAGGACTGTTTATGGATACCATCTATTTTCAGGCTTTATTTTAATAAATTTTAAAAATATAACTTAAAAATTTGCAATTTCCGCTTTAAATAAAACTGGTAGCAAGGAAAACCGCCTAATTAAATTCAGTGTATTTTTTGACACTTGAAACTGTCGCAGCAGTTCATATTCTAGATTTGGTAAATTTGTTGGACTTGCATGGAATATTCAATAAGTCATTTGAAGGGGAATCATGTCGAAATTTAGAGTAGTTATTTGTCACAGTTATTTCAGGTAGACCAAGATAGATGATTTTTAGCCATCGTAGTAAATTAATTTTGTTCTTGTCTTGCAGGTGATTTTACAACTAACTTAAATCGAGCAATGGTGGTATGGGAAGGTGTACTGAAGGTGTTTCGATCTATGTTTGGTAATGATCAGCCATGAAAACTTTATCAGTTACTTTTTAGACCAGAATAAACTGAAATAATTCCTTAATCCCCATTTCATTGTACCTTCATAAAGTCTGGCATTTTTTTCCCTTCATAGCTACAAGTTGTGTCAGGTGTTATGCACAAAACAGGATAGCTTATTCCAACCAGAATAATTAATACCACTACACACTGGTCTTTTGTGGGAGAGCTATCATGTGGCCAGTCACATTTATTCATCTTGACATCCAGTTAATTCTGGTACCCATGAAGAATTATTATGGTTGGAAGTACTTTGCCTCTCTTAGTCTGTGCTGTGTATACTTTTGATTAAACCGAAAGTTCCATTTTATATGTTGAAAGCATTACATACACTGTCCGCAGGTATTTAAAATACTTGATAACATAGAAGTTAAAGCAACTTTTGAGTCGTACATGTACTTTTAAATTACAACCCTTTAATACTACAGAAGGACAACAGCACATGCCAACATTGACCAACCGAATGTAGTATTGCTGTGCGCTTAGCAATTCCTGCAAGACAGAGATGAATTCATTGTATACTTTAATTAAACCAATACCTTGACTAAGTTAGATAATGAGAATTTTCTGCTTGGGGATAAATAGCGATAAGCAATTTGATTGGTCAAGACTTTGGAACGTAACTCGGCTTTTAATTGAGGTAGAATGTTTAGGTGAATGTCTGAAATGAGTTCAATGATTTCCGCTAAAGCTAACTAATTTTATTGGTCGATGCTTTGGGACAAGAACTTGGTGTATGGTTTCACTACCAGTTACTTGGAAACCATGACCAAGTTGGATAGTGAAAATTTTCTGCTTAAACTAAGTATAGATAATCAGTTTGATTGCTCAATACTTTTCAAAAAGATAAACGTGCAATTAATTTACATGTGTCATCTATTTTGGGGTTGCAGCATGGGACATCAGTCTCACTGTTGGCTCGTTGACCTTGTCCTCATCTCAACATCCAAGGTTCATTATTTTTGAAAGTTCTGAGTTGTAAAATGTACAATTTTAACAGATGTTGGTCTTGTATCTACGGACAACCTAGTTCTCTTCTTGTGTACATTGGATATCTTTCGATGAAACTGCATATCATTAACCATTTTGACATTTACTTGCCCAATGCCACGGGCCTGGATTTAAGACATTTTATTTGCTGGCTATATAACAATTGAAATAATATAAAACAAACTTCTGTATTATCATTGAATAAATGTTTATTATACAAACTCCCCTCTTCTCTTGTACAGCAGCTGCCTTTATGATTACAATAGGGGTAGAGTGACTTTATTAACCCACTATTGACTTCTCTCCTCACAGTCACATCCACACAATATCGTATCTTTGTAATAAAACCTTTTTCCTACATTCATACATGGCATGATCTGTTTGATTTTGATGTAGACCAAAACTAAATTAAAGACAGCATCACTGTTTACTACAGTATAATTTGAAATCAACCTAATGTTGAAGTATTCATATTTTTGAAAAATATCAAAGAAGGTTCTGTAAAGAAGATACAATATTGTGTGGATTCTTATGTATTCAACTATGTTCCATTGACCTTACTGATATAAAGCAGTTAAAAACTATGTCATTTTTCTTCTGATAAGGTCAAAAGTACAATTGATTTAATAGATATACAACTGTAGTAATTAAAATAAAGTGTTACATATCATAATATAGATTGATAAACCTGCATGTACTGCAGACTGTTTAGTTCAACTCCAATTCAACAAGCCAAAGTATAAAGCCATACATGTAGCTAGCATATTCCCCTGTAAACCACCCAAAAAATGATATTCAAATGACATGTATCAATTTTAATTGATCAATGAAGGTTATTTCTTTTTTTGATATGAAGGATTAAATATGTATAGTATTGGGAGAATCAGTCAGTTAACAACATTTGTTAACAGACTTAAACAATTACCACATATTTAGAAAATGTTCGAATAAATGTAGGATTAAATCAGTTATCTGCCCAATTAATACCAAAGAAACCCAGACAGAGTCAGCTGAAAAGAAAATTTCTAGCACCCTGAGAAATCACCTTCAAAAATTTAACATCTCCTCGTAAATAAAACAATGACAAAATTGCTTGGTTATAAATATGATCAATATTTAATGTGAAATAATGCCCCATATATCTAAATACAGGTTTCCATTTCACAATGTGAATATGTCCAGTTAACTACAAGTGCCTTCAGAATAATTAAAATATATCAAAATACTTGTTTGGCATTTTGTAATTACATGTATATTGTGAATTGGAACCCTAACATAGCAAGTTCCTCAATCATTTTTCATGGCCAATCCATGTACATGTGTTTGCATATTACGAAGTCTAAAAATAAAGTGTTTATGTAAAACACATGGGGCAGTATGTCACAATGAAACGCCTCCCTTCTATCTATTCATGGTAAAGATACGTTTAAAGGCCTATTATGTACACATTTATACATAGAACTCCTCCTCAAGACATTTCAATAATTGCAAATTAAAATACAACTCCTCGTGTTAACTATTTGATTTAAAATCACAGATTTATGCGTTTCAAGAAAATATATATCATAAAACATATTGATTACAACAAATTAAAGTTATTTCTAACCATTATAGAATAGCCCAGTTGAACATGATGAATGAATGAGTTTTGGTTTTTATTTTACGTGAGAGACATGTATATGATCAAGTACTATTTATATGATATCAAGTTCACGATCTAAAGGTAACATTCAAAATCTCTAAACCAAAAATACAGTACTTGAATAATTCAAAAGCAAGTACCATATATAAATTCAATAATGACATAACATAAGGTTTAGTTAGGTCAATTTAAAATGAAACCAGAACTATCTTACACGACTGACAGAATATAACTATATAGTACAATTATGACAATGAGTTACACCAGCATAATAATAATAGTTAAGAACCAACAAGAGTTTACTATGCCATATATTAAATGAGACTAAGTGATAGGTAGAATTTTTTTATGCTCCATATAAATTGCAAAAAAAACCATGCATAACTTGTAGTTAGGACATGCTGCTGAAAAATACTGGCACACCTAGGTTGAGCCAAATGTAATTCAACACCTGATAAATCTGTGCTGCCTTGAATGCATGAGACTGGAATGACATGTACTCCTCTTATCGCTACTTCTGCCACACTCAAGATGAAGGGGTGTCAAAACTATAGTACACAACTCTTCATCTCCCTGCTGAAAGAGGTCCAATAATTGATATATATATATATATATATATTTAGAAATAATTTCATTCAAAATATCTCTTCATAATATGAAAGACATGTGCTCTTTGATCATGTAAAAACAAAGTATTGATTTGGATATGGGAGAAGTTCCCCACATTCATTTAAGAGGACATTGGCCTTATAAGTCATGATTTATGTATCAAAGCAAAATGACAAATGTAAATCACTTCACTGGACAAAATAAGACCTGACCTTGTCTTCACACATATCAGAAAGGAAGCTATCTTATCTAAACACATCAATGATTTAATTAATGTAACTAATAAAGTAACTAATATTGGTTCCTCTTTCAGCTACTGTGAAATGTTGTATGACAATTATTTAAATATAACAATGCTGCATTTCATTCACATGTATACGACTTGAAAACAATAGATACACAAATTCATCTTATGTTAAATAAAAACAACCTCATGTTGGCACAAGGATATTTTATAGATAAAATGCAACACTGTTCAAATGTGTATAAAAGATCAAAATACGCCAAGTAACAACTCCATAGCCATAAATTACATATCTTATAGTAGTGGAATTGACAAAAATCTAGAAGTCAAGATTACCATATCTAGTCAATTTTAAAAATCAAATATACAGACATTAAACATTTCTTTTAAAGAACACACAATACCACCTACTCAAGGTCAAAGTTCAAACCAAAATTAATTAATTAAAAAAAAAAATTAAAAAAAAAAAAGAGACTATAATACAAGCAATTACTTTCAAAACCATTAAATAACATTTCAAAACGGTGGCAATATTTCTAAATACATCAATCAAATACCGACAAAAAAAAATGACAGTTTCCATGACCTAAGCTGTTCAAGAAATAATAATAATAAAAAGCATCTTAATCCAATTAATTGTGTATTATATATTGAAAAGAGGCACTGTGCCTTATGGAGTGAGCAGTTGACTTTATTCATCGCAATTCCTGGCAACATGACCTTGTTTGTTGCAGTTGTAGCATGTTACCTCTTTACCATTTGGGCAGTCACGGGCAATATGGTCCCTTTCTCCGCATCTACAAAACATGAAACATACATATTAAAATCTCATTACTAGAGGCGATTAACTAGTCCGTGTAAGAGTGCATAACATGAAGTTTTGATACAGTGTCACTCCAAAACAATGGCTCTCGTTGTATTGATACTGAATTTCCACTGGCTGGTTTATCCTTACATAGCTTTTCACACAGAGCATCATTTGGGTACATGTAGTTGTGAATAACGGCCAAGGGGAAATAAATTTTCTTTGAGAGAAAATTGAACCTGAACATTTGGACACACGGATAAATTTTTGTACCATATTTATTTGTATGCTGTGTGAATTATCAAGGAAAAGCTTCTTAATGTCTAGCATGACCTCTGATAATTTAATATTTAGTATATTAACATTATTTAGCTACAGTAATGACAATAGTATAGTACCTATAACAGCTACGACCACCACCTCCACCTCGCTCGGGTCTCTCACTTCTAGAGCTTTCTTCAGGACAATCTCTGGATAGATGTCCACTCTCGCCACAGTTGTAGCATTTTCGATCATCACGTCTTTCCTCGGTACAGTCTTTAGCAATGTGACCAGTTTCTCCACAGCGATAACATGGTCTTGAACTCTCTTCAGGGCAGTCTCTCTGTACATGTCCTGACTTGCCACAATTGTAGCAAGCTCCTGAAAGTCAAGAATTCTTAATGAGACAATCTTCAAAAATTACAATTTTACGATTTTAAAAAGTTTTTGGGTGTATGATCTCTGATCAAATTTCATAAATTTAAAGCACTGTTCACCAGTATGTTCAATATGTCTAAAATAATGTGAAATTGTTTTATTTAATATAACATGCATGACTAATTTACAACTCATTACACCAGTGATTTTCAAGCTACCATACAGCAGACTTGTATCCCAAGACTATCTTGAATTTAAACAAATAATTCAAGTGTAAAAAAAGAAAATTAGAATTCTGTCAGTGCCATACCATATTCTTTACTAATAAATGGAAAATATGTATTCCGGTTTTGAATAGAGAATTTTTTGACCAGAACAATCATAATCACACCCCTGCATTAAATAGATAAGCTTAGATAATTAACTAATGGCATGTATGAAATTAACATGCCTTATCAATAAACTTTAATTAGGTTTTTAATAGTTATTCTTTTTAAAAAATTTACTTCATATGTTCTATGTTTCTATAATAATAAATGCCTACTTCTCATCTACTGGATTTATTTATAAAGAAATAGTTAAGCTCTGGTAAAGTTTATCTAATTATTAAGTTTAGGTGTGAAAGAGGAAAGAGATCAGAGACTATGAGGTCACCTGAATCTATTTCCCTGCCACAATCTTTGGCTATATGTCCCATTTCATTACACTTATAACACCTCTCAGCTGGCAGTCTACATGTTGATGCATAATGACCTGGACGGTTGCACTTGTAGCATTTGTCTGCAACGATAAAGTAGTCGGCTTTCAAATGCCCATAAACTAGCATCCAAAAACTACTACTAGATACTACTTCACATAAGTGACATTACACATCAACAGAGAACAATGCTACAGACATAGATTTATGAAGCAAGAGCAAATTAGGCAGCAGATGAAGAATGAAGCGATGTGAATTTAAAACTAGAATAGTTCTACACTTAATGTTGTAGCATCAACCATTGATCTTGTTTTTCAACCCATTAGTAATCTACCATTCATAAATTCTTAACAATGAAAAAGTTGAAAACTGATACATAGTACATGTATGTACATATGTACCTGCAAATGTATAGCTTTATACTATTTTCAATGATCAAATACTCCCAAGATGATCCATGATTCTCGATCAGCAGGTTACAAACAGATTGCTAAACAGAACAATGGAAATATAAACCTTCCTCAAAATAAAACTCAAAATAAGTAAACAAATTCATTTTAAAATGTTTAAATGAAATGAAATGGTTATATGTGCAAATTGGTACATCTATGAAAATAAAGAGTCTACTGAATGATAAGAATGAAATATTATGAGCCTATTGTACAGTACACTTTTGAAAGACCTTCCTTTGAGCCAAATCTGATCTTTTTCATCCACTTAAAATAGGAATTCAGATCCATGTGGCACAATAAGGACTTTACCATTTAGTGACATTCAGACATGTTGATCAACTCTATCAAAAACAGTTCCTAAGGCCAAAAAAACCAGCGGCTGCCAGGCAGGATACGCCCACATTTTCGAGAGATGGATAGAGAACAAGCTAAAAGAAAGTGATTTTTCCTACCATCAATGGCCATAATTCAGGAAATTACAATTCGATATGCGTGAATATCGAAAGGAACCGAGATCTTTGGGTTATAAACTTACATTTCAAGTTTCAACAAAATCGGATAAAAATTGTGACCTCTATAGGTTCCACAACCGTGATATACCATATTTTACGCTATTTGAGAAAGAACGGCAACCATTTTGTCTGTCAATTTTGGGCCGATGTTCACCAAATTCGAACTCAGTCGTCCTAAGGGTGTAACGGTGATATAATAATACGTTTTTTTAAATCTGATAAAAATTATAACCTCTATAGGGTCCACAAGCTAAAAACATGATTTTTCGTACAATCAGGGGCCATAATTCAGGAAGTTACGGTCCGGTATGCGCGAATATCGAAAGGAACCAAGATCTTTGGGTTATAAACTTACATTTCAAGTTTCAACAAAATCGGATAAAAATTGTGACCTCTATAGTGATATACCATACTTTTACACTATTTGAGAACGAACGGCGGCCATTTTGTCTCAATTTTGGGCCGATTTCCACGAAATTCGAACTCAGCCACCCTTAGGGTTTAACGGTGATATAATAATACGTTTTTTTAAATCGGATAAAAATTATGACCTCTATAGGGTCCACAAGCTAAAAACACGATTTTTGGTACAATCAGGGGCCATAATTCAGGAAGTTACGGTCCGATATGCACGAATATCGAAAGGAACCAAGATCTTTGGATTATCAACTTAGATTTCAAGTTTCAACAAAATCGGATAAAAATTGTGACCTCTATAGTGTCCACAACATTGATATACCATATTTTTAAGCTATTTGAGAACGAAGACGGCCATTTTGTCTGTCAATTTCGGGCCGATTTTCACGAAATTCGAACTCAGCCATCCTTACGGTGTAACGGTGATATAATTGAACGTTTTTTTGAATCGGATAAAAATGATGACCTCTATAGGGTCCACAAGCTAAAAACACGATTTTTGGTACAATCAGGGGCCATAATTCAGGAAGTTACGGTCCGATATGCGCGAATATCGAAAGGAACCGAGATCTTTGGATTATCAACTTAGATTTCAAGTTTCAACAAAATCGGATAAAAATTGTGACCTCTATAGTGTCCACAAGCTAAAAACGTGATTTTTCGTACAAACAGGGGCCATAATCCATGAAGTTTCGATCCGATACATGCCAATATCGAAAGGAACCGAGATCTTTTGGAGATAAACCTATATTTCAAGTTTCGTCAAAATCGGATAAGAATTGTGACCTGTAGAGTGTACACAAACAAATTGTGGACGGATGGACGTCTGGACGGACAGGGGCGACGGCATAATACGTCCACATGAAAATGTGGGCGTATAAAAAATGTTATGTTTCTGGTAACCCGACCGACCCATTACAAAACCTGCCGATTCAATTTTTTTTTTAGTGTCAAGGGAAATAAAAAAAACTTTTTTGTTCAACAAGCGACCATTCAATATACTCTAAAAATGGCTTTATTATTTGTTGCTATAAATGTCATCGTTCTTCAATCTGAATAAGCGAGTACTGTACAGCGAACGATTATTTAGAACTGTCATACTGTTTCCGCGAGATTGCTAACTGACATGAAAATCAAGAGAACAGGTTTCGTGTCGATTTAACACTGCACATCCAGAAAAGCCATAATCCTCACAACCTTCGTTCTAATAAGTAACGGCACACAATTTGACAAAAACAAGCTAAGGTATATTTCAAACAGATGGATAGGATCTGCTTGACTAGTATTTAAAACAAGACCAATAAATTTATTACAGACCTATTCCGTGTGACAGCACGATAGGATTTTTTAAGTTTTCATCGCGAGTTCTTTCTCTTGAACAAAATGGCCTCCCTACACTATTTTTTTTTTTTAAAGCATAGAACGATTAAAAAGTCCATTTGGCCCCTAAGAGAATATTTAAATCATAATCTAGCCTCTGATACATTTTTAACAATTATCCAAGAATTCCATTCACCAATCTATTCATACTTCATGTTCCTCGGCGCCGACTCAACCTAACATAAAATTGAAGATTTTCGCACAGAATATTATGCTACGGTACATCTACTAGATCTAACAATGTAACATTTAAAAAAAAAAAAAAAAAAAAAACCTATCGACCCTACCCTTTTTTCCATCCGTTACAGGAAACAGAACCCCCTTTTTTGGGGCCTAATGACACTTGCCATTAGTATTTGTATTTTAGTTAAACTAAAATTAAAATTTGCTTGATCTGAAGTGTCTGATTAGATATTATGCAAAAATTACATATATTTTCATGGTCCTTTCCAATCCATTTATGGTCTTGGCTATCAAGGCAATATATATCCATAAATGATAAAAAGTTATTTTGCCAAGTGTACATACATGTAGGCATATTATATAATTATCATTCATTATATGATATGACAAATCAATAATGTAAATAACACAAGCGGTTGCCATGCAAGATACGCCCACATTTTGCAAGAGATGGACAGAGAACAAGTTCAAAAAAAGAAGTGATTTTTCGTACAATCAAGGGCCATAATTCAGAAAGTTACGATCCGATATGCATGAATATTGAAAGGAACCAAGATCTTTGGGTTATTAACATGTATTTCAAGTTTCATCAGAATCGGATCAAAATTGTGTCCTCTCTCTAGAGGGTCCAAAACCTTGATATACCATATATTTACAATATTTGCGTACGAGGGGCAGCCATTTTGTCTGGCAGTTTTGGTCCGATTTGTACAAAATTCGGACTCAACCATCATAAGGGTTTAACAGTGATATATTCAAACGTTTTTTTTAAATCGGATAAAAATTGTGACATCTAGAGGGATCACATCCTAAAAACGCGACTTTTCGTACAATCAAGGGCCATAATTCAGGAAGTAACGATCCAATATGCGCGAATATCGAAAGGAACCAAGATCTTTGGGTTATAAATATGTATTTCAAGTTTCATCAAAATCGGATCAAAATTGTGGCCTCAAGAGGATCTACAACCTTGATATACCATATATTTACACTATTTGAGAATGAAGGGCGGCCATTTTGTCTGTCAGTTTTGGTCCGATTTCCACGAAATTCGAACTCAGCCATCATAATGGTGTAACGGTGATATATTCAAATGTTTTAAATCGGATAATAATTGTGACCTCTAGAGCGACCCCAAGCTAAAAACGCCATTTTTTGTACAATCAGGGTTATAATTCAGTAAGTTATGATCCGATATGCACGAATATCAAAAGCAACCAAGATCTTTGGGTTATAAACATGCATTTCAAGTTTCATCAAAATTGGACTAAAATTGTGACCTCTACAGGGTCCACAACACTGATATACCATATTTTTACGCTATTTGACTACGCGGTGTGGCCATTTTGTCAGTCAGTTATGGTCAAATTTTGACCTCTACAGTGTTCACAAGCTAAAAATGTGATTTTTCGTACAATCAAGGACCATAATCCATGAAGTTACAGTCCGATACATGCCAATATCGAAAGGAACCAAGATCTTAGGGTGATAAACCTATGTTTCAAGTTTCGTTGAAATTGGATAAAAATTATGACCTCTAGAGTGTTCACAAACAATTCTGGATGGACGGACAGGGGCGACAATATACGTCCACATGAAAATGTGGGCGTATAAAAAAACTGGGTCATACCCAACCTAACTTAGTGCAATTTTAAAAGAATAATACCATAAGAAAAGCTACTTCACCAGCTGGAAAGCTACCTTGCCATCTCTTAAAATATTTAAAAAAAATAAATTATGTAATTCTTTTTTTATTTTATTGATTAACAAGTTTTGATAGCGATGAGGTAAATTAGCAACCAGTTGGTAAAGTAACCACAAATATAACCGAGAAAGTGAATCCAGATTTAATATGGTGATCAGAATTCAAAAGCTGGTTCATGGCATGAAAACAACTGTATTCAATGTAATGACGTATAATTTTTTTTTTTAAGAAAATGTAAATGTTAAAAATTTTGATACAAATACATGTACATAGGATTACCACATACCATTACTTCCACGATTTCTAGAATATCCACTACGGTCACCACCCCTTTCTCCACGATATTCACCCCTGTCTCCACGATCTGCCCGGTCTCCACCACCTCGATTATCACCATCCCGACATACTCTTGCAATGTGACCCTCTTTGCCACATCTGTAGCAAGTACTGGCCTCTGCTCTACCACCACTCATATTTATTTCTCTGATAAATATACAATCAACAAAATCATATATGGATATCTTATGTCCAATACACACTCAAAATTAATTTTCTTTGTGGATAAGCATGTATTGTTAATTCTACACAATAATAATATTGGTACATGTACTGCCCTAAACTGATTGATACTGCAGTTACTGAGACTGCTTCAACCCGCCCAAGATGAGAACAGCTTTCTGCATTACAGAACCATTTATTAGTCTTTGCGAGCACATGCAGACAATCTAAGAAACCGTAGTTAGGGCTACCTAAGTGGTAACTCCCATAGCTGTCCTAATTTTAACGATTTGTAACAATTCTATAAATCTAAAGTGACTTACTCTTTCCCTCCCTCTTTGATGGGTATTGTTATGGTTTTGAACAAAAAACAATGTACAAAGAATCATAAATCAAAAACCCAAGCAATGGCCTATTTAGTAAAGGAACTAAATCGCTAATATTTGGGATCTAGAAATTGACAAAAATGGGTCGCAACGCATATAATAATGTAATATGAATGTATATAAACTGATTTACATTCAATCGTTTCCATTTTTACTGTAATTTCTAATCAGTTATGTTCGGCGAAATATGCCAGAAGTCTCAAGTGAATGGCAATCTTTAGCGTCTGGTTTTTCCAGTCTACATCGATGGTATTTATTGCGCATGCTCTCCAGATAAGAATATAGCGTCACCATTTGACATGACTTGTCTAGCCCTGTTCTTTGAGTCCCTTGTTCCAAATGGTGCTGAAACGCATTACGGTACACGATTTGTGTACCAATGGTAAAATGTTTATTTTGTCTTGAATATTGGATATCAGAAGCCCATCTTTTCCCTGTAAGATCACAAGACCAATGTTGATTTGAATTGACAAATAATTTGTGTTTTCAATGTCAAAGATTTTTGATGATATTGAGTTAGAGACTTAGCTACTTTAATACCAAGAATTTATACGATTCTCTGCCATAAGCTAAATGTTGAAAAGTGCTTATTTCAGCGATGGCTTCTTTGTTCTTCAGACAAAAAGGGCATTAATTAGCGACAATTAATTTGGCATTAACTCCATAATTACAGGGCCTCTCAAGCTCATTTTGGTGTCATTGTAAAGCTGTTGGACAGCCCTATCCAGAAATAACAGAATTAAAGCCATACGGGATAAATGAATTTTTTGTTGTCATACCTAATAAGATTAGATTAGAAGACGTACATGTGTAGGCCAATATCTGAATATCTTAACAGTACACCAGACCAAAAAATGAGTGTACTCTTAACCAGCACCTGGATGAATAAGTTACATCAGTGTAATAATGAGTCTTACAAGATTAGTGGAAGTTTATAGAGATAGCTTACCAAGACTACTTAAAAACCAGAACCAGTTTTACCTAGATTCTGCCTAATGGGACAATGTCTGCCCTGACATCTCTTGTCCAGTCATGAGTCTGATCAGGACACTACTCAGTACTAGTTACTACTGTCAACAACGAAAATTGGCATAAACATGACATGGAATGTTGGGTCTCAGATTTGAGAAAAATGTACAACATGAATATTTACGTACCGGGGTCATTGTAGCGTTGTACTTTTTTTTTTTAGATTTTCATTTTTACGTAAACACATGGAAGCCATTTTGTCCAACTCCGCATGCGCAAGAAACCATGCGGGCGGAAGAAAAATACATTATGTTTTGGGTTTTATTATTCTAATTAGAAATAACACTGCCTAAATGTTTTAGATTAACCAACCTCCTGCTATATTTAAATAAATAAACTACAAGACTAACCAGCTATGGGCTTCAAAACAACCCTCTAGACTGTTTAACAACGACGATATAAACCGTCCCTTCCGCAAAGAAGATCGAGTGCGCACCATATTTCTGACCATGTGCTAACGAACCCATTGATAACATCGCTTACCTTTGATCGATTTTCTCAACGTGTAATGGATAAGATTTAATAATAACACATGGAAACAGTGTCACAAATAATATTTTACTACATTGAATTATAATTTAAACTTGTTAGGAATATAATCATGAACATACCCTCTGCAACAACTCCCACCTCTAGATACTATAACCTACGTTTTCACTCAATCGCGCGTAACTGCATACTTTTGCACACGGATCGCTATTTACGTACTGTAGCGTTCGACAGTATATTTTGCACACGATACCAATGTTATTACCTGCTGATCAGTTGTGTGTACATCTTCACACAGAAACTTATGGAAGCCTATAACTACCATTCATAATTTCTACTTTTCGCCCCTTCAGAACGCGAAAGTCGAAAAGTAGAAGTTACGACAAAATGGGAGGCGACAGCACGCTATACAAGCCAAAATCGACTCGAAAATAGGAAATTAAGAAATAATACACAGCGATATTTAGCGCCCCTCATTTTTTCCTAATTTCTACTTTTTTTCGACTTGCATTTTGGCTTGTATACCGTCTTGTCGACTTTCGACTTAGTCATATTTTTGTATTTATTGATGTCAGTAAAAAGGCGCCAACACGCATACCAAGCCATAATGCAATGTGAAAAGTAGAAATTATGAAATAAACACACGCGCTATTAGCGACCTATCACTTTGGCTTGCTGTCGTACTATTGGCGACTTTTCGAGTTTCACCCCGGAAGTGATTGTAGTCTCAATTTGCCAGATCGCATTTGAATACATGCAATTCGCGTTAACAAAATAGTCTGTATGATAAAGTCTAGTATTCAAGGCGATATTAGCGGTTGATGCTATATCGTATCTAGCGAAATACCAAAAAGGGGAGGAGCTGCCAATAGCTAGCTGAGCAGAAATTCGAACGTATTTGTAGGCGGGAATTAAGAAGCATAACCACGCCTTGACATGATCGGCGAAGGTCGCTTCTGTATCAGCGAAATGGTGATAGCACTAAGTCTTGCCAATCGACAAGTCGGACAAGATGTTTAATTCGATTAGGGAGCCGAGAAATATATTAAAGCGACAGAAGTACACGCGACGACACAAATAATATACCAAGAAATACCAGGAATTTCAATGCATCAAGTAGGAAGCGTCTTTTGATATATGTAGGCCTATAATATGTTTTACCAAATTACGCATTGGTCATTCACACTGGACGAGAAAGTTCATCAGGATTTTCGGACGTGGTTTCACTTTGTCAGTGGTGCTGGACGGAGGGCCTGCAGGGACAACTGTCTAGGTCCCGTCTATACATTGGCGTGCAAGTAAAGGATCCCTTGGCATTTGGAATTCGATATAAAGGCTAAGAGTATAGGCCATAGTGCCGCTGCCCGGGCAAAATTTCCCTCATAGCACACTGTAGGCTATAGCATAGGCACGTCTTCATTAGCCCAGTCTGAGAAGAACAGTAGGACGTTAAACCCCATTTCATTTCATTTTGCCAAATTACATTTTTCATTTTAGATTCGGAGTGTTTTTGTGTTCAAAATGTCAGTCAATTAATGGCTCAAGTCAAAATGTGATTCCATTTAACTTAATTTAAGCGATTTCCTGTAATAAAAATTACATATTTGCAACTACCAAACTTGTAGTCCAATCCGTATTGTAAATCTGTCGGGTTTTCGGGCAGAAATCATGGAACAAACTTTATTTTGAGGTTTCGACGTCGAGGCCTGGTTATAAAAAAACAATGTTGATATTTTTGTCTTAGTAGGTCTTCATAAGTAATATGCCATGGTATGGTATGCCATTACTTGAAGGGTGGCCATAAGGCGTTGAAAATCCAACTTATTTTTATTTTCTCCTAATTTGTAATATCAACTATGATTTGGCACTGTATTTTTATCGGACTAGGGAGTTGACTGATGGGACTATGAGTTGATAATGCCATGGGCTTGGCAAGTGAATAAATGTAATGATCTGCATTAAGCAAAATTAGCTTTAGTCTAAGTAACATATATAATGCATCTTTATAAATAAGGCTTCATTTATTTACATTTTAATTTTGTTCTATTTTGATTTTTTCTCCAGGATGATGCTCTGATAGTCTATTGAAAAGTCTAATGCCAAAGTAGAAATTGGTATGTAAATGGTTTTATCCTTTGACAACAATTCAGCTTACATACTAAAAATAATAAAGTACCCATTGTTCGTTGCCAGTGTTGACCAAGAAAATTCATCTCGATTTTCCGGTGTGGTTTTCCCTTGTCAGTGAGTGGTGCGTGAGTGGTGCAGAACATAGGGCCTGGCAAGGACAGCTGCCTAGTCGTTCGGATGGAAAGAATAACCGAGGTCCTGTGTACACATTGGCGTGCACGTAAAAGTTCCCTTGCCAGTTGGAATTGGATATAAGAGTAGGCCTTAGCGCCGCTGTCTGGGCAAAATTTCATTAGCCCATTCAGAGCAGTACAGTAGGACGTTATACCTCATTTCATTTCTATAATATTGGGAGCCCAGAAGTCTTAGTGAGTAAAGTGTTGGTTCGCTGACATGGACATCCTGTGTTTGATTCCTGCATTTGCTAAAAAAGTTCATGTGAATTTTCCGTGGTGTAGGACGGAGGGCATGGTAGTATAGCAATATCGTTCGGATAGAAAAAAAACCCAGGTCCTTGTGCACATTTAAAAACGCTTGACTGTTGGAATTCGATGTAAAAGTAGGCCATAGTACCTCTGTCCAGGCAAAATTTCCCTCGTAGCTCATTATTTAAGTTTATTTCATGTATATAATATTGACAATAACAATCGTTAACATTTTAGGCTTGCAGTCCTGAGAAAAGAAAAGCAGAAAAGAGGCTTCGGATTTAACATTGTCAGCAATAGGGTAATTTCTTGTTCTTGTAAAACTCTTATTATTTCGCGGCGAAGATAGTACGAGGTTTGTCCGTCCATATTTCAATTACAAAGCATATCTCATAAACCATTTATAGTATCTTTCAGACTCGCTTATCGTGGGTTTTTCCGGGTCCTTCTGGTTTCCTTCCATTGCTAAAGACTCCTAATGCGCAAGCGAATTATTAAAATCCGGGTCCTCCTGGTTTCCGTCCACTGCTAAAGGCTCCCAATGCACAAGCGAATTATTGAAATAAAATTAAACTATATGTTAGTCCCGAAATGAACTAGTTTGTGTCCAGTGGAGATGTGTTTATGAATCTTCATGGCATTGTGTTGTAAACTTGCATCTAGAACTGCCTTCAGTTTGTTGATACTTTGATGGTAGTGGTGGTAATTTTTAATTTTAGTCAATTAATGTCCACTATGACTAAATTCATTTATTAAAGAAGAATATTTACCATTATTCTTTCAGGGCCTGGGATTCCAATTAGTTGACTTTAAAAGAAGATTCAAGAAAAACTCTATATTTGCAATACCAGAGGAATTGTTAAATTTACCATATCTCCAGAATTTCAACTTCGTGTTTGTAATCTCGACAATTTATATGCAACATTTTGTTGAAAGAATCCTCAGTATTTGTTGTGGTGAACAAAATAAATATTGGCTGTCAAGAGGCATATTGTACATTGACCAAATATGAAAAATAAAGTTATACATGTTTCAATCACCCTTTTTGTAATGCCTCTTTTCTTTTACAAATTAAGGCCACAACGTTTTCTGCAGTATGGGGAAGTCCTGCATTTGGGGCCAATCTGATGGAAAGAAATGAAATGGGGTTTAACGTCCTAATTTTTTAGCACCGGAATACTCTTTTTTCAAATTCCAAAGTGTACATGCCCCACCCACTATTCACATCGGGGAACAACACCGAAAAATCCACACTGATCCGCAGTGAATATTGACTCGTAATTCTCTGTGAAACAGATTGCGGAAAATCATATCATGATAACCTTTGTCAGTCAACACTGGGTTGAAGGAAACAACTAACACTATTAGTTTGAAAGTATAACACTTTTATGATAATTAAGTAATAATACAGGAGTTACTCTCCGTCTCAAAGACCAACAGATCAGTTCCACAAATCTATAGAAAATCCTTTTGTGAGAATCAATCTGAAAATAAATTCTGCTGTGATGGCTATTCTGGCGAAAAATTCTGCTGTGGTGGATAATCTAACATAATTCCTGCTGTGATGGATAATCTAAAGAAAAATGCTTCTGTTGGGACCAGTCTATAGAAAGTCCTGCTATGAGGACCAATCTGAAAATAAATTCTGCTGTGGTGGCTATTCTGATGAAAAATTATGCTGTGATGGATATGCTAACTAAAATTCCGGCTCTGATGAATAATCTAACGACAAATCGTGCTGCTGTGACCAATCGATTGAAAATTCTGCTGTGATGCCTATTCTGACAAAAAAGTTCTGCTGCCATGGCTATTCTGACGAAATATTCTGCTGTGATGGATAATCTAACGAAATTCCGGATATGATGGATAATCTAAAGAAAAACCTTGCTGTTGGGACCAATCTATAGAAAATCCTGCTGTAAGAACCAAGCTGAAAACAAATTCTGTTGTCATGGCTATTGTGACGAAAAATTCTGCTGTCGAAAAATTCTGCTGTCATGGCTATTGTGACGAAAATATTCTGCTGTGATGGATAATCTAACGAAAATTCCTGCTCTGCTGAATAATCTAACCACAATTCCTGCTTTTGGGACCAATCGATAGAAAATTCTGCTGTAATGGTTATTCTGTCGAATAATTCTGCTGTGATGGATAATCTAACGAAATTTCTGATATGATGGATAATCTAAAGAAAAATCCTGCTGTTGGAACCAATCTATAAAAAATCCTGCTGTTGGAACCAATCTGTAAAATATCCTGCTGTGAGAAGCAATATGAAAACAAATTCTGCTGGTCGGGGCTCTTAGATTTCAAGCGCCTGTTTTATGGAATAATCTTCCATTTAGTATAAGATCGTGTACATCTCTAAATGAGATAATAGGAAAGTGTTGATTAATTATTCGTTTTCTCAAAATAATGAAACATTTTGCGCCCAAAATTGAATTATTGGTATTATATTCAAAAAATCTAGAATTATAATAGCAGGACAAAAGTGAGTCAGCTATGTTAATTCCTTGAATAAGAAGTGGTGTCGGTAGGTATCGAACAAGCATGCATTGCCTCGTGTACGACACCCACCAATACTTATAGATTACTGAAGCGATAGTTTAGAAGCGATTTCAGAAGATTTCCAATTTATTTTATTAGAGTGGGAAGGGGATTATATAAAACCTCAAATCAGATCACAGAAAATCACTGCATTGGTGTAGCACGCCATCCCAATAAGTGCAGGGGAGGTTTTTTATGAGGTGAAGAAAGCGATTTGCAGCTGTTATTGACCTTATCCGTTTGGCATCACTAATGGGATCGGGGCCTAGATGATTAAAAATAGGCCCAGTATTGCCTTCAGCTATGAACACACTCCGAAAGTCCCCTACGCACCCCCCCCCCCCTCTTATTTTGTTTAACAAATAATTTTGGAATCAATAAAATGGCAGGTCCCTATCAATGATGTTTGATACGACTGGAAATTAATGTGTCTAAAATTGATTAAACAACACAGGGTAGTAAATATTACATTTCGAATCCGTATCAATGATACATTTACTCAAAATGTTCCTTCTAATGGATCACCATTTAACTTGAAAACAAGGGAAGCAGCCGATCGAAGAAAAAAAGATTTTAAAAAACAAGTTTCAATATGACAGTCGTGGTTCGGTCATGCATTTACATCCGTGGGTGTCATCCTTTCTTTGAAAGTAATGATTGTGCCAAATTTGAACAAAGTCCATCTAGATTCGCGGCCTGTAGGTAAAGTGTTGACAGATAAAACGAAAAAAAAAACCAGACCTATAAAAATATATTTTCTAAAACTATTTTAATTTTGAAATTATATTATTTTCACATTTGCCAAGTGTTTTAGCGAATAGTTATAGAAAGGGTTTTGTCGATTAAGACTATAGCGCATGTGCAATGTGCAGTTTTAAACTTCCGTAAGATCGTCTGATTTTGTCGTATCATCGACCTTATTTTGTCGTGCTGTCGTATCATCGACTTATCGCCACGACAAGTCGTTGATACGACGGTACGACAAAACACTAAACTGTCGTATCATCGACTTGTCGACTTGTCGTCTCGGAAGTTTAAAACTGCACATGCGCTATAGTCTTTATCTACAAGACCCTTCTATAAATAAAAAAACAAAACTGACAAGGTTATATGGGACAACAATCACTGTTTTATTATACACAAGCACAACGTTTCGATAAGTATTCTCTTATCGTTATCATTGTGCTTGATAACGATAAGAGTATATTTATCGAAACGTTGTGCTTGTGTATAATAAAACAGTGATTGTTGTCCCATATAACTGTGTCAGTTTTGTTATGTTTCCAATTGCTAAATGCCACTAAAGGATTATATTACCTTCTATAAATATTCGCTAAAACACTTAGCACATGTGAAAACAATATAATTTCAAAATTAAAAGAGTTTAAGAAAATATATTTTTATAGGTCTGGTGTTTTTGGGGGTTTTTTTTTGTTTTTTTTTACATTTGATCTGTCAACACTCTACCTACAGGCCGCGAATCTAGATGGAATTTGTTCAAATTTGGCACAATCATTACTTTCAAAGAAAGGGTTGCACTCTCGGAGGTCAATGCATGACCGAAGCACTACTGTCACATTGAAACCTGTTTTTTTTTAAAATCTGTTTTCTTCGATCGACTGTTTCCCTTGTTTCAAGTTAAATGATGATCTATTGGAAAGAACGTATTGAGTAAATCTACGCTATCACTAATACGGATTCAATATGTAATATTTCTCATTACTACCTATGTTGTTTAATCAATGTTATACATGTTATTTTTCAGTCGTATCAAACATCATTGATATCATTTTATTGATTCTGAAATTATTTGTAAAACAAAATAAGAGACGTGGGGAGGGGGGGGGGGGCGTATGAGGCTTTCATAGTGTGTAATCATCTAGGCCTCGATCCATTGTTTTTGGTGCTTGATATTTTGCGGGGGAGTCGCAGTGTCTAGGCAGGTAAGACGTTGGTTCGGTAACCCGAAAGCTGGGTGTTCGATCCCTTCATTGGACGAGAAAGTTCATCCAGATTTTCCGACGAGGTCTTGTCAGTTGTGCTGGACAGAGGGCCTGGCACGTAAAATATCCCTTGGTAGTTGGAATTCGATATAATGGTAGGCCATAGTGCGCTGTCCTGGCAAAATTTCGCTCATAGTATGGCGTATGCCCGTCTTCAATATGACAGTAGTGGTTCTGTCATGTATTTACACCCGAGAGTATCATCCTTTCAGAGGATCGCGTGGCTACGTGGGCAAGACGCTGGCTAGCTAGCCTGGAGGTCGGGTGTTCGATCCCACACTGATCAGAAGTGAATATTCGCTAGGCCTCTGATAAGAATGACATCGATGCGACTTAATGAGTCCCCAATATTAACATTATTCCTCCGACAAATTTAATTCTAAAAAAAATTTTTATGTATTAGAAAAATAAATAAAGACATTTGAAGTATTTGTAGGTAAAAAATATTTCCTATGTAGCGTAAATGGGTATTAAAATGAGTAAAAGGCATCATTCTACCCGAAGCAGTTACGTCTTATATAAACAATGCACGCGCCATTGGTCCAATGATTGACACCGCGTGACGTGATTGCATGTGTTGAAAACAGTCATCTTTTACAGAGATATTAGACGACTTTTTTCACAGATTGGTTCGATCCCTGCATTGGCCGACAAAATTCATCAAGATTTACCGACGTGGTCCCCCCTTGTCAGTGATGCAGGACGGAGGGCCTGACAATGACAGCTGTCTAGTCGTTCGGATGGGACGAAACACCGAGGTCCCGTGTACACATTGGCGTGCACGTAAAAGATCCCTTGGCAGTTGGATTTCGATATAAGAGCGGGCCGTAGCGCCGCTTCCCTGGCAAAATTCCCTCATAGCACACTGTATGGCGTATGCCCGTCGTCTTTAGCCCAACTTAGGAGAGAACAGTAGGACGTTAAACCCCATTTCATTTCATTTCATGCCATCCTGTCTTTGAAAGTAATGATTATGCCAAATTTGAACATCTAGTTCCGCAGTCTGTAGTTATACCAGAGGGATGACAGATAACACCTTAAAAAAAAACAGATCTATGAAAATATATTTTCTAAACCTTTTTTAATTTTGAAATTATATTGTTTTCACGTGTGATAAGTGTTTTAGCGAATAGTTGTAGAAAGGGTCTTGTAGATTAAGATTATAGCGCATGTGCAGTTTTAAACTTCCGAGACGACAAGTCGACAAGTCGATGATACGACAGTTTGGTTTTGTCGTATCATCGACTTGTTCTGTCGTATCATCGACTTGTCGACTTGTCGTCTCGGAAGTTTGAAACTGCACATGCGCTTTTGTCTTAATCTACAAGACCCTTTCTGTAACTACATGTATTCGCTGAAACACTTAGCACACGCGAAAACAATATTATTTCAAAATTAAAAGAGTTTTAGAAATATATTTT